GGGGCAAACGCAGTACAAATGATGTGGGTGGCTTGCCCTGCCTGACATCATTGGTTGCTAGGACGCCAGAGGTCCTAGCAACCAATGGTTGAAGTGGAGTGGGTGACTGCACTGGGTTATGGCTGGCAGTGGATGCACCAGCCCTTTGGAGATTGTAAGCTCTTATGTCCTAATCCTTTTGTATGGTCAAGTATTATAATTGTACTGTCTCTCCCATATGTTGTAAACCGCTTCACAAACTGTTGGTGCCATATAAATCTGATAATAATAACACACACACATACTTACTAGGTCTTAGATGTGGGGGCTGCATTAGCTTTGCTTTTCCTTTAATTTTACCTGGTGATCCTGCCAGAAACACGCTTCCTGTGTCAGGGTGACAATCCATGCAGGAGCTACATTGTCACCCTGGGATAAGAAGGTTTTTTTGGAACTATATAAAATTCCACTGCACCTTACCTCCACAACAGAGGGGGAGGTTTTTAGTAGCCCACAAAAAGAACTGGCAACCATGCTTAACTGATGGCAGCCAGCAAACGCATAGTTACCAGCTTGCAAACTTTCTGTCAGGTTCGGCTGGTATTTTTTTCACAGACTTAAATATACCCTTGAAAGTGTTTTAACAGATCAAAAAGGAGCAAATCAAAAAAATTAACTGGGTCACCCTTGCCCTAAGAATTCGGGGATACATACACTTTAAATGGATTTAATGTATCCATGGCAGAGGAACCCTTATGTACATTTTTCTAAGATGGCAAAGATGATATTTTCTTCTTTCATTTCATATACAAATAGCGCTGAGAGCTTTTCTCTAAAAGGTCATAACTTCCATCAGAAGAAAAGCTCACAAACCTCTCAAACTCTAAAAGTTAGAACCAAGTTATGAAAATTGTGAAAGGAAAGAAGTTGCCACAGGCAATGCAGATGCAGACACATCAGTACTAGAAGAGCACATAGAAAATACTTAGTTGCTATAAGCAATACTTCCATGCTGTGCCTCCCCCCAGTACATTACCCCCCATTACCTTCTCATTATACTGAGCTGCCATCACTGTTATACAAAGATCAGTTCCCATGATCTTTGTCTGAATACCGATCTCTCTCCCTCTCCAAGTCTCTGACCTGTTTTGAACTAGAATAAAAAGCTAATAATTCCCAAGAAAATATATAAAAACTAAAATATGGGAAAATGAGACACGTAATCCTTTCCAATTTGCTACTGTCCCTCCTGAGAGGGCTATGAAGAAATTGGAGGTACTTGTTATATCTGGAGATGTGGTGCATTCATTATTATTACTTTTATGGAGACATAAAGAAACACTTTTTTTTAATAAACTGAAGTCCCAAATGGGCATCTGTCTGCCAAAATCAAGAGTGGTTGCTGTTTATTTTAGAAGGAGACACAAAGCAGGCAGGCTTGATTTGCTTTGCCCAGTTATTTCAAAAACTTCCCACAAAACACAGATTGGGTAGCTGGCCTTGTCATCTGGCTATATAGTGGTTTATGAAGCCTTTGCTGCAAGCTGCCCGTGTCCAGCTCATAGGCTGCCTACTTCAAGGACAATGAAGCGCCTACTAGGGTGTGAGACCCACACAATGGTGCCTTTCACCTGAAGGGTCAGAACTGTGGGGACCAATGGTAATGCATTTTTACTGCTATGGGTCACTACCCTTTGCCTTGTTAATTAAACCCAAAAGTCCTATGCTTAGCAATGGTACCTTTCACCTGAAGGGTTAAAACTCTGTGGACAAATTCCCTGGAAGGCAATGCAGGATGCAATGGTGATGCATGATTAGCCATTATGGGTCACTACCCTTTGCCTTGTTAAATACATTCAAATGTCCTATGTTTAGTAATGGTGCCTTTCACCTGAAGGGTCAAAACTCTGCAGCCAAAATGCCCTGGGAGAGCAATGTTAATGCATGATTGGCTGCTACGGATCACTATCCTTTGCCTTGTTAAATAAGCTCCAATATCCTATGTTTAATAAAAGAAGTGTAGACTAGATCGCCTTTTATTCAATTAGAGGAGAAGATTTTCCATTCACACACTGGACACATGTGGTTCACAGAGACCAGTGCTTGCTTCTGCAGAACACCAAGGTTTATTCAGCTAAACAGATTGGTGTCACAAGTTCCTCTCTTATGAATGAAGCCTGTGATTTTAACTGAGCCAAATCAAAATGTTCTTTGGTCACGACAACACTGGGGGCTGGTTTATGTAAATGCCAAAAAAAGAAGAACCTGACACCCATTGCACCCAAAGAGATGTTGGCTTTTTTTTCATTGTCTAACCTTAAAGTGACACTAAACTCAGGGGTTAAACCTTAAAAGTTAATTGAAGTACCTTAACTAATAACAATTAGGGGAATTTATCAAAACTGGAGCAGATAGAATCAGGAGCAGCTGCCTATGGCAACCAATCAGCTTCTCTCTTCAGTTTGTTTAGTTAAGCTTTGAAAATGAAAGAGAAGCTGATTGGTTGTCATGCACAGCTGCTCCAGATTTCGTCTGCTCCAGTTTTTATATAATTCCCCTCAATGTATCTTATTTATGAATCACGCGGCTGTAGATCATCAAATCATATCTGAATTGGTGCTGATACTGTCCTTCCTTCTGGAGGGTGGCTACTTTTGTTCCTCATGGCCCTTGTGTGTGTTGTAAAGTAGCCACCGCTCCAAGCTCACTCCTGTGATGGATTACAATCTCAAAACTCAATACAAATTATAAACCTAAAACATCACAGTAGTGAGCTTGGAGTGGTGACTACTTTACAACACATACAAGGACCACGGGGAACAAAAGTAGCACCCCTCCAGAAGGAAGGACAATGTCAGCACCAATTCAGAGATGATTTGAGGACCTACAGCCAAATGATACACAAATAAGTTACATTTTTGTTAATGGTTAAAAGGTGCTTGAATGCATTATTAGGATAGAACTCCTGAGTTTACCGAAACTTTAAAAATGAAAGAAAAAAGTAGAGCTGGAATGGAACTATTGAAAAAGAGAGGCATCCTGTTCAAAGAGTAGACAGATTATCTGAAAGCCGCCAAGCACAAGCAATAGGTAAAGGAACCGATTTCTGGGAATCACAAACAACGCAAATGGGAGCAGTAATGGACGTCTTAACGGTTCACATTTCATCTTTCATTCACTCACCTGCAGTGATAAAAGACTTTGGATCTCTGGTTGTAGGTAACAACTTCACTTCGGCAGCACTTTTCATTAACCGGAGCAGCCTCATAGCCTTCTTTCATTTCACAGTGAACCAGTTTCAGATTTTTTATATATTTTCCTATTTTTGCTAATTTACAGGTAATTAAATTGTGTTTTGCTCTCCTCCTCAGAAAGCAAACAACTACTTATAGGTCTTACCAATAAATGTGTACATTTACTTGCATCACATACATTTATCTGTTTATCTGAAGAGCTCAGACAAAGACAATTTAATTTTAAGTTCATATAGGCAGCGAAGGATGCAGGGTGAACAGACAATACTGTAAACCACAGCACATTATAAAAACAGTAATATTCATTAAAAAACCACAGTTAAAACACAAATATAAGCACTTTTATTCAACCAAGCTCAGCTTGGGACAGCAATATTGTGTAAATCATCATCACCAAAACACAATGGAGATGTTAGCAGTGATGGATTTGGTTTACTAGAGAAATGTACAGTCTAACTCTCTCTACAGCTTTCTCCCTCGTGTAGCCAATAAATAGAAAGTTCCTAGAAGAAGAAAAAAACTCTCACCAGACGGAGTGTGTCCAGTGGCTGCACAGAATCCGACGGAAAGCCTTCCTGAAGTCCTGGTTGAATATTGTGTATATAACAGGATTGAGGGAACTGTTACAATACCCTATCCAGAAAAAGAACTGAAACACACTTTGTGGGATGTAACAGAGATCAGGGCATATGGCTTGAAGGCTGTAGGTAAAAAAGAAAGGGAACCAACATAAGACAAAGACACCGATAACTACAGCTAGAACAAAGGTAAACCTCTTCTCACGGTTGATATGGCTTTTCTTTTTGGACATGACAGACGCAGTGTCTTCTGTTTTTTTGGGCAGCAGTACAACACCTTTGGTTGTGACAACACTGTCCATTATTGAAGGCCCATGGCCATTGGTCTCTTTAAGGCCTCCAGGCTCTGGATGACCATTCTCCTTTGGGACAGATTGGGCCGCTTTGACAGCACACTGATGATCAGGTGGTACAGAACTCAGTTTCTCCTCTGGATTACAGCAGGCATGACCTGGAGCGTTCTCCACACTGTGTCCAGCACAGAGGCTAAATAGCTTACATGTCCTCTCTTTGGGTGTACAGTTGTTTGTGTTCTTCCTGCTCCGACGTTTTGCTATTAGATATATTCTGAGGTACACCAAAATCATGATCATACAGGGAGCAAAGAAGGAGCAGATGCTGGAGGAAAGAATGTACCAGGGCTCCTCATTTAGCTTACACTGAGGCTTGTCACTGTTGAGGTCCTCCTTCTTTCCCTTGTAAATTAATGGTGGCAGGGAGATCAAGGCTGCCAAAGTCCAGACGATTAAGATGATGCACTTTATCCTCCTAGGAGTCCTCTTAGAGTTATACTCTATAGCTTGACTGACTGACCAGTACCTGTCCAGACTAATGGCACAAAGGTGCACTATGGATGATGTGCAGAAGAGAACATCCAGTGCCAAGTACATCTCACACCAAGTCTTGCCGAAGTACCAGTATCCCATCAGTTCATTTGCCAACGAGAAGGGGATAATAAGAGTGGCAACTAGGATGTCTGCTGAGGCCAGTGACACCAGAAAGAGATTTTGAGGAGCTTTCAGCGAGCGGCTAGTCAGCACCGCCATAACCACAAGCACATTGCCGAATATAGTGAAAAGAATGAGAAAGCTGATAATTGCGGCTATAACAGCAGTAGCTTGGATGGAGTATGACAGTGGTGATGCCATATCCTCCTGATAAAACAAAAAGATAAGCAGCTGTTCCAATAAAGCAAGCGTCCAATCTAGAGAGATGAAAAATCCAGATCTCTAGGCTCCATCAGTCCACACATGAACAAAACTTTGGAGGGACTTCATGAAAAGTTCAGAAACGCAGAATTCTGCAAATGTAGATCATTTGGCCAGAAATTCACCAAAGTCTTGCAAGTATCTTACCCTTTAGAGAAGAGTCCTCTCTGCTTGGCTATGAAATACGTGAGCCTTCTCTCTCAGTGAGGTGAGAAATAGAGAACGTTGGCTTTTAAAGTAGTGAATGTTTAGTTTACACAACCCCACTGAGTGATGTCAGAAACTCAACAGCTCAGCCTCTTTCTAAAGAGGGGAGGAGGGAGCCACAGGCTGGATCCTCTTCACTCCATAGATTTATTTCCTGAACGCAGCTGCTCATTGCTCTTCCTCCTGCTGTTTCAGGGGAGTTTAGTGGCTCCACAACAGTTGCAGGACCACCAAGGGCATCATGACTGATTTCCTGCAATAAGATGTGCTTCAGTCGCACTGCACAGGCATTAATACTGCAGCCCGAGGGAAACATTCTGCGCAACGAAACATTTCAGACTTGGCAGCACTTTACCCAACAAGTACGCAGATTAACTACTTTAGAATGCAAAACTATGTGGAGACATAACCACTTGCTCATTTGTGTGCGTGCTTTGAAAAAAAGTAAATCAAATTCAGCTTATACGGTTATAAAACATGCGAACGGTAAATGCCGTTTTAACCCCTCCATGTACTACTGGGCTTACCATTCAGCACCAAGGATAGCTCAAGCAAATTACTACACCAGCACCCTCTACTGGCCATTTATGGCAGCAACGTTTTTGAAATGAGTCAAACAAATCCTTCCATAAAATGATTTATTACATTAGAAAATGCAAAACAGTGCAATATTTTTCTCAGGTGCAATTCCCAACATAAAGGTTATCAATAACAATTTTACTTGTATTCATTGCATCTGCAACACCTTCCACAACCACCTACAAGAGAAAAAGGAAAAGTCAATATTGATTTTAATACACGCGTAGGAGAAAGAACGGCATAGTGAAAGATAACAAAACGTAACCATGCACAACAGGTGGAATCTGTCCCAAACATATTGTTTTAGCTGTTCCATGCAAGCGCGTCCCACCCCAACTGCCATAACGCTCTGGCCTCTGATGCCGAGTGATCAACATCTTTCCTGTGTTCCTAAGATCGTGTGTCCTGATTGTTATTGACCCTCTGCTCGCTACTCTGTGTTCCTGTGACCCCGGCTTGTTCTTCGACCACTGCTCCTGCCTGCCACCTTGTACCTCTCTGCCCGCACATTACTGGCCCCAGCTCGATCCTGCTTCCACTTCTGTTTGTCACCCGATACTCCTCTGCCCACCTGTTGACGACCCAACTAGTGCGGACTACAGCTCTTCTGGAGCTTCTTTAGTGGTCCAGCTCGTTGGTATTGCAGAGACTGACTTTCCTGCCACAGTGAAATCATCTGGCACTTATGCCACTCTGTGTCCCTGCAGCTGGTATCCAGGGGCTCTGGGATTGGGGCTGCAAGGGAGGCCATCCTCATCAACTCAGACACCAAAGGTACGCGACACAAACCCTTTGTTAGGACAGACAGTGTTCAAATCTAGTTTACAACTGATAATGAAATCTGCCAGCACAGTACATGAAGGGTTAGTTAGGGTAAACATAACTTCCCACAGCCCCCTCTTTAGAATTACGTGGGGGAAGCTAGGTAGGATTTTTAAGTGAGTAAAATGCACTTAAAAATGTAAACTGAAATGTCAAATATTTGTTTTAGGTTATGCAATGTGAACAAATATACAATATGAGTTACCCCAATTTGGCTGAAATAGTGGAAATACATTTTAAGACTGGGTTCACAAATTTGTTTTAGAGTGTGGTTTGTGACCGATGGGTGGCAGCATGGTGTAGCTGTGCCTTAGACTTTTATTGGTAGTACAATGTGTACACTCCATTCAGGTCTCTGCACAGCAGTGTGGTGGGCTGCACTGCGGAGGACTCTATGCCATCCAGTGCTCTGCAGAAAAATGAAATATGCCTGCATTTTTCTGCAATGCGCATGACACCAGTGTTGTGGTGTGAACGGAGCACATAGAAAACAATTGTTTCGATGTGCACTCACGGTAACTGGCATTGATCCATCGTGAAAAAACGCCAGTCAACACAACCGGTGTGTAGGAGCACTAAGTGATCATTCTTGCACTTTGTGTCCGCATAATTGAGGGGTTTGTCCCTTGCCTAAATATTGTGTTTGAAAAGGGGTCCCTTCTTCCTTTCTTACAAAAGGTGGGCAGTATGCTAACAGACCCAGCAATAATAGCTTTCATATGCCATCACTCTAAAACTGGCCATTGAGTAGTTTTCTCCTTTAGCCCTGTGGGCTAAACAAGAACACTCTCCAATCTCCCGCTGGGCTACTGTATTCAGAATACTTGAACAGTGAATGCAGCTGGATGGAAGCAGACACTATTCAGCTGAGAATTGTTGTACTTGCTCCTTTGGCCAAAATCAAACTTCTGCCAAAAAGGAGGGGAGCCGACTGGGTCACATAGTAGTCGAAATTTGGCCTCGTACCTGATAGGGAGAGAAGGGTGGGGAAGGGTTAAATACCCTCAGGAATGGTCTAGGCCATGTAAGGAAGGGTCAAGCAGCATAGGGAAGGGTCAAGCAGCATAGGGAAGGGTCAAGCAGAGCAGGGAAGGGTCAAAGCAGTGCAGAATGGTTAGAATGTCTGACTCTTCTTCCTGCCTGGGTGTCACAGAGACAGAAGATCTCTCCAGTAAGGTCACAGTAAGAAATAAAACAGCATCAGAAATGCTGACATTTTTTATTACTCCCATCAAAAAGGAAACAAAACAAACGGTTGCAGTTAGGATGGAATATTGCAGTCCGTATGATACTCATCTGCACATTATGGTACGGAGGTAGTGGTGGTAAATCTATCCGAGCTTTAGTCCACCTGAGATGCTCCTCTTCCCCTCCAGCAGACCACAGCAGGGTCTTTTTTCCACTGTTGGATATTATGTAGATGTTCAGAGTCCCTAGAAAGTGAAGCCGAGTCACAATGTATGAATTTAAAACAAAAAGTAGTAATAGTATTTTATTTTGCTTCTATGCCTGTGTTACCATGTAAAGCGGCCAGTTCTTATATTGAAAGCAGAACTCCGGCCTTCCCTTCAGTCTTGCACAGTTGTACAGGCTGAAATTGCTTACTCTGCTTTCACTGCACAATGTGAGCTTCTCACAAATGGGAATTAGAAGCTTCAGCAAGTCAGATAGATCCCGCCTCATTTCCTGGGGGAAGGCACCCAGCATTATCGAGCTGTTCCCTCTCCGTTCTTACTGTCCTTGGCCCGCACCTTTCATTCAATTGATTTGGTTTTCTTTATAATGGAGGCTCAGCATTACTTGTGGGTGTTACCTAGGGCAGTGTGCATGCAAATGAGTCCTGCTTAGGAATTGTCAATTTTGGCATCCACCCATCAAAGCATTATGATATTTTCATAACTCCTCCCAAGAACCAGCCCACTGCTTTATTTAGGGCTCTTTAGAGGAGTACAGAGGCAGGGAGCAGTGATGTTTTCAGGAAGCTATGCACAGGATTGGCATTTTTCACAAGGAATTCAGGATTACACCATAAGAACAACTCGTCATGGTCTGATTTCAGGTATCATGCTATTTTATACTTTTACTGCAGAATTTTAGCCAGAAATCAATCCCAGGTATATGCCCTCCATGTCAAACTTTATCCTTACAGCTGCAAGCATCCTCTACACTTAATCTTCAAAACTTTTTCCTTCCTGAAATCATGGCAATGGTACACCCCCAGTGGGGGAAAAGCGGCACACTGCTAAAAGGTCATGCCTGTGCTCTCCCCTTCGATAACCATGTTTTAGGGTCACCATACACATTACAATCTGACCATACAATCTCTGTGCAATCAACTTTAGATTTACCAGAACTATGTAGTGTAAGAACCTACCTAAATCTATCCAATACATTTGTATCCAATCAGGTATGCCGTACACTACATAGGTGTAGGTAGATCTAAAGCTGGCCATACACCTATAGATTATCTGCAGATTTTCTATGATCAGATGGAAAAAGTGCAACAGAATTCTCCATCTACACTAAACTGTGTGGATGGAGGAATCTCCCACTGGGCCAAGCTTCAGTATCTTGCTAGTCGGCCCCGCTGGCTCTCAAAATACCTGAAGAATCCGATTTGGTTGCAGGCATTGTTCAGGTGTTTTGGGAGCCAGCAGGGCTGACTAGCAAGCTTTCATAAAGAAAAAGATTGAAATGTCCGATATGGTCAATATTGCTTCTTACCTTGATTCCACCTTAAAACAGTATGCCAAATACATGAAAAGTCTAGGGATGCAGAAGAACCAATTATGGGGAAGCATGAGACAACATACTGTATGTGGAAGAGAAGAGGTAACCATTTCCTAATGAAAGACCATATTACATCTACGTAGTCAAATTTGAATACAATTATAAGAAATATACAGGAATCACAAACTTCTTGCCAAGTTTAAAATGGAAAACAAAAAAAATTGTTGAACAACTTAAATTAAATGACTGGTCATCGTGAACTCACTCACCCATAAGGCTGTGTCGGTATCCATACCACAATGAGATACAATTAAAGGGCTGCATGATAGTTCTAACAAGTATTGCCCTCTGTTCTGAAATTTGGTTTCTTTGGTGGTTCTTTAGTGATAAGTGGAGCCCTAGGTGTGATAAAAGACAAGAAGAAATGGGATGTGTTCAACTTGTAAAACAGAAAGCCCAATGAATGTACCCTATATATCTGTCAGAACAAGTTTTTTTTTTCGTTTTTTTAATTGGTAGATGGAATGTTAAAACACCTGACAGTTTCTGATCACCCAAAGACTGCATTAGTGAGATTTCAATACTTCAATTCTTGGATCTGCACACCTATTGTGACCATTATGAGGGGTTCCCATTCTACCTGGTGGGATTTTCTTTTATTATAGAGAAAATGCAACATGATTATT